ACACTGACCAGATCAAGAAAATCATCAGACCTGCCGAGACACCGCCAGAGCCACCTCAAGTGGTCCAAGAAGTGCCCAGAGTCCGCCCCGACGTGGCCCCTGATCCTGTCCTTGATTCGGAGCAGAAGGATGGACCGAATCAGGGCCCCCTGGGAAGTGGATTGGCGAAGAGCGAACCACCAGACAAATCACCAATGTCGGTGCCGAGTCCCACTCGAGTCCAACCAACTCCACCTAGGCGCTCTCAAAGAGCTGCCGGATTGCCTGCTAAATTCAAAGATTTCATTGTGACCAAGAAATAATTCAGTTAAGTGAAGTGAGAAATTAAATTTAATTTTGTAAAGCAAGAAACACATCAAGAAAATAATACTGTACAATTTCCTGTTCGAACTTCTAAAATTCGTCAATAACTTTTCAAGTAATTGAATTAAATTGATTTCCAATTTTTATTTCCATTCTCATTTGCATATTTGTTCAAATCTCAGGAGGGAGGTGTTGTGAGCCCTCTAGCGGCAGACAAATAAATTACTTTAGTCTTGATTTTCCTGCAAGAACACGAGTTGTTTCACTTCAGAAGTCCGAGAGATTTTAGTGAAAAAGTCAGGGTAGAAACCCTCAGGGCCATTAAGTTAGGGCCAGAAGTCTTCGAGACTAAGTAAGAAACATTCAGGGCTGAACTACAGCACATACTTTGCCGTATTTTGCGATATTTTAACGCGCAAGGCGCGCGTTTTCAAGTTAAAAACGAGAAAGCCGGACGAGATGATTGAAAATTGCAAGCGGCTTTTTAAGAAAACCAAGCCGGATATACTGTTTCATGATGCAGAGGGAAGTTTTATTTCTAAAAAATTCCAGGCCTATCTAAAAAGCGTCGGCATCAGGAGTTGGACCGCTAGGAACACGGAGACCCACGTTGCCGTATGTGAGGCTAAAATTCGAGTTATTAAGCAGAAATTGTTCCGCTACATGCACTACAATAACACGAAAAATTGGATCTCGGTGCTGGACGACGTCGTCGACGGCATCAACCGCTCATACTCGCGTAACATTGGCGCCGCGCCCAATGACGTTAACACGCTCCAGGAGCAGCAGAGGGTTTTCATGCGCCTGTATGGCAAGCACCTGGCCAAGTTTCAGCCTGCGCGGGTGCATTTAGGCGACCGCGTTCGCCTCTCCCTAATTAAATCGCCGTTGGTTAAAAAATATCTACAGAGTTTCAGCGATGACAAGTACACAGTAACCGCCGTACTCAGGCGGCCGCGGCCTATATTTAAGCTGTCCGACGGTCAAAACGAGTTAGTCGGCAACGCGTACCCGGAGGAGTTGATTCGCGCAAAATGATTATTTTTGCTGACTCGAGGAGCTCAGTGGCCGAATTTCCCGGAAACAACAGCCGCCGTTTCACCACCCTACTGCCCAGGCCGCTGGATTTGCACGGAGTCCACGAGGTAGCGCTCACGCGCATCTTTCTTCCAACTCTCGAGTCCAAACCTGTCCCCAGCTACGTCTATATCACGTGCAGCGCGGCCGAGTTTGCTGTAGTTGGCGATCGGACCCTAAGAGCAATCGCAGCTGTCCAGCCAAGCATTCCCAGCATAAAGCACCCTATTTTCGTTCCCATCGATAGCAGCGTCCCGTTGAGCAGCATCACTATAGAGATCGTGCACCCGGACGGCGGCGAATTAACATTCACGGCAAAAGAAAACACCCTCTGCGTTCTGCAAATAAGGAAAAGAACATGGCGAAGCTGTCTGGACGTGGCGTCGGCGAGCTGAGTTCATTTGTAACTAAGAAATATAAGAAACAGAGCGGGAGCGGCGTCACGCGGAAAAACTCTGATCTCGGTAGGCAGTGGACAAAGGCGAAAAAAGTCACTGGCGCAGGTCGAAAGTTGTCCGGCGGTAGCCGAGATAAAAAGACGAACGGCCGATTGAGCTTTTCATAAACGATCGAGCAGCTGTAGAGAATGGAGCTTCAACACAAACTGGACCTTTTCTCGGTGCCCGAGTTCAGCAGCTCGGTAGAGAGCACATACTACGCCACATACCGGTCGCAGGGCCGGGTGAGCCACAATTCCATAATTGAAATTACAATCCCCAAATGCAACGAGTACACAGACTTAGAGGCCACGCAGATCGGCGTTTCCTTCAAGGTGGTGAACGGCGACGGCACAAACCTCGTAGCCGAAACTGGCAAGGTCACTACTCTCGTAAACGACACGCTAGGCGCATTTTTCCGCTCTTTAACGGTGCTTTTCAACGGCGAAATTGTTTCTCAGACGTCCATGTACAACATGAAAAATTATTTTAAAACAATACTGAGCACAAGTAGCAGCGAGTATAAAAAAGGGGTGCTCGCCACCGCGGGATACGTTGAGGAAGCGGCCGGAAAAGTCGACGTCATTTCGAGCACTACAGCCGTGGAACGGGCCAAGTGGATTGCGGCCAGCGCGATGGTGAGACTGCAGGGCGCAGTGTGCGACGGACTTTTCTCCCAGCCGCGGCTGCTTATTCCGGGCGTCGAGTGCACGCTGCAGTTGACGCCGTCACCTGCCAATTTTTTAATTTGGTCTAACACGACGACCCCAACTTTTAAAATTGAAATTTCGGAAGTGTACCTGCTCGCAAGACACGTAAAACTCATGCCCAGCATCAGCAGTGCGCATCAGCAGGCGCTAAATAAGAGTGCGGCCAAGTACATTTTCATGAACCTGCACGCCAAACACGTCGTCGTGCCCACCGGGTTAAATACGCAAATTTTAAGTTCGATTTACACCGGAAAGTTACCGCAGCGAATTTTCTTCACTTTTGTTTCAAACTCAGCCATGTCCGGCGAGTACAAGTCCAATCCATATTACCTAAATCACTACGACCTCAGCTCATATGAATTTAAAGTAAATTCACAAAGTCTCCCGACAGTGAAATTAAATTATGATTTGGGCGCCGACAATGTGGTGGAACTCCACAATCACAACATGATCAATATGGAAAACGGCCTGCCGCGCGGCATCACCCCGGAGAAGCTGGCCAAGGGATTTTTCTTTGTCGCGCAGCAAATAATCAACGAGCAGATAAGCGCGCCATACGTTCCCGAGGTGCCGACTGGAAACATAGATCTGCATTTAAACTGGAAAAATTCACTGAAAGAACCTATTTGCGTTTTGCTTTTCGCCGAGCATCTGGTAACGCTCTCTCTCGACAAAGACGGGCGCACCAAGTATGAATAGCGACCAGCTTGAACGTTTGTGCGCGTGCATCGGCGGCAAGGTGCTCGCCGTCGACGAGCTGCCCCAAACGGCGAGCGCACCCGCTTATTTTATCGTCAACTCACACCCCCGCAGTTCAAAAGGACTGCACTGGCGAAGTATTGTTCTTAAAGGAACCACAGCCTACTGGTTCGATTCCCTTGGCATACCAGCAGCGCAGCCGGAGGAGCTTGAATTTTTGTATAATAACTGCAAACGAGTAATAATGAACAAAATTCGCTTGCAGTCGCTTTTTTCCGACAAGTGCGGCGAATACGCACTTGCATTCATTCATCACATGCATGAAGGTGGCACATTTGAAGACTTTTTATCCTGTTTTACTCGCACACCCGCAGCAAACGACAAGCGAATTGGACTTGCTTTTCACGGAGTGCGAGATCCTCGTGCCGGCAGCTTAGCATGCCGGGCCATTAAATTAAGACTTCGGCGGCTTCAGAGGCGAAAAGAAGAAAATGGTTAAGTTTGAGTTGTTGAATAATTAGTTGTAAAAATTTGTTTCCATGTATAAAATTAATGTTAATGCTAAAAAATAAAAATAGATCTATTTTCTGAGCGACATATTTTGTTGTATTTTTTACAGTATTTTAACATTTTGTATGAAAATGATAATTAAAAATTAATAAAGTAAAATGATTGCTACTATTAGCAAAGCGGAGAAAATTATAATCCGCTGGCGTGCTTTGTCGTGAGGCGAACACATTGCGGCACGCGCAGAAAAAATTAAGCAGGGCCCAGGAGGGGCCGCGTCTGCACCCGTCAACGTGATTTGGCCGAGCGTGACAAATTATGTCACACCGAAAATGAATAATGCTTTGTTTTTCCACCTGCAACAGGCGCAGGCTTCAAAAGCGCCGGGTCAGGTGCCGACTTTTGCGGCCAAGACAGGGGCTAAGAAAAATAAAAACATCCGTCTCAATGCACCACCCAAGTGCGGGTAAAACAATCGCGCACAAAGCACACGCTTGCGCGGGTTCGACGACACACCAACATATAAAGCGAGGTACAGCCTAACCCCGAGTGCATTATGATCTGAGCAGCACCCCAAAAGCCGATGCAGCCGATGTAAAAGTGTAAAAGAATGCATTTGGAGCCATTGGTCAATTAAATGTCTGCATTTATTGCACACAAAATAAAAATGAATATTACGACGTCTTTCAAGCACGCGGCAATTAAGCGTGGAATTGATTTTTCATTTTTAGAATCATCATCTAGAGACTTTTTATTGACTTTGATTATCAACAAAAAATTTCATTTATTTATGCATAAATAAATTTGTAATATTTAATAATTTTTTATTTTTAATTCAAATTAAATCGGAGAGCTAATCATACGCAATTAGTTAAATACTGTGTCAAATTATCAATATAAATATAATAAATTATGACTCAAAATTAAATTTTTGCGTAATTATTAATTTTATATCAATATGCAAATTAGCTAATTTGAATGAACGTATAGCGTTATCCCCATTTATTATCTACTAGATCAACATATGTACAGCAATAATTTTTGGAATTAGTCACTTAAATACAGTTCACAAATTTTAAACCAATTAATACTTGTGCGCGTTTTAAAACATTTTAACATAGAAACGCACTGCGCTGTGCTCTGTTAGCGGACCTCTTAATTCCGTTTTATTCTCTAAAGCCACAATAGAGTGAAATCAGTTAAAATTTTTTTTGCTCTAATATGAATTTTACTGGACTTTGTCTGAATAATTTTACTTTTTTTTTAGCTGCCCTTTCTTCAGAAATGAAATTGGCGGTGAGGAAGAGAGGGAAGTTGGTCTGACTAAGATAACAACAACCAAGAAAAGAACAGATTTCTCCTCTTTAGTCCTACAAATCATACACCGCCCTCCTCTAGCCTATGGTATTTCAGTGCTAGAATCTATCCCTGGTGAGTCTCTCTGGAGGAGCTCAGTTTGTCCTTATCAGAAGCCAACCCGTCCTATTGAGAGCACAGATCAAGGAGCTCTTTACTATAGGAAGCATTTCCTAGGACAAGGTATGTAAAAAGGATAATTAATAATATTTTGTTGGTTGGTTCAATTAATTTTTCCCTCAAAATTCAGAGCACCAAAATTGGTTTGGTTTGGATGAGACTTTGGGACCAGTTGCTATCAGTATTAAAAGAGAAAAGCTGGACGACAGTTTAAACTCGGCAAACGCAAGCCAATTGGACAATATTGGATCAATGCTATACCAGTACCGAGTCATAGTTAGGACAAGTGAGGTAATTTCTAAAACATAGAATCGAGAAATTGTATTTGCACATAGTGGCGAAAACCTAAATGTAGGCAATAATTTTTAATTGAATTTCCCAGCTGCTTACACTCAGGGGAGCTATCCTTGAAGATGCCATTCCCAGCAGCAAAGTCAATAAGGGTGCTAGCATAAAGGATTTACTTGAATACGTCGCCCCAGAAATTCAACATCAATGGTAATATATATATTAAGGCCCACAAAGAGAGTTGTATTAATTTTGGAGCATTGTAGTTTGCGTCTTGGAGTATCTGCAACAGCTACAGAAGAGCAGCTGACCAAGTTAGACGAGCAAGGTTTAAGTAATAATTATAAAGTGGGGATCATTTACTGCAAGCCGGGTCAGAGCACTGAGGAGGAAATGTACAATAACGAGGATGCAGGGCCCGCATTCAGTGAATTTCTGGAAACGATCGGCCAAAGAGTTAGACTGAGAGGATTTGACAAGTACAAAGCTGGCCTGGATACTAAGAGTAAGTTGATATTATACAAATTTTAAAGAAAAAATGACATCAGATTAGTTCAAAATTTATTGCATTAGACATCTCTAACAATAAATCACCTTTACAAGTCATTAATGATAGCAATAAATTCTAAAAATATTCATTTAACATTAAGTGGATGAGGATGCTCCCACATCATTAATAATTCGATGGTGGGGGTCAAGCATTTGACATCCTCCTCAAGTATAACAGGGGAAAACCACCCCCGAAAACCCTGTAGTTGAGGTCCTCTATGTTAAATTTAAACATTCAAATTTACATCTCTAATCTTTCATATCATAGAACTGGTACTTCATTATTCTAATGGAATTATTGCAATTTATTAGGAAGGCGTGGAAAAGGAATTTTAGATAGGTGCTATGTGTACTTACTCGTCTTGTTGTTGCATCACACAAATGGAGTGATGATAGCTTTTTTGGGAGAAATTTTTGGCACTGAAGATGTGATTCAGATTCAGATTATATTTATTCTGTATAGATCAACATATGTACAGAAATAATCTTTGGAATAGGTCACTGTAATACAGCTATATCTCAATATTAACAGCTTACTAAATTTAAAATACATTTAAAATACAGTTCACACAATTTTACACAAAAAATATTCATGCACGTCATAGAACATTTTGTCGTAGAATATTAATTCCAATTCCTTCTTAAACACTTGATGCAAAAATTCCAAACCGTTGCTTTGCAATCAAAAGAAAACCTAAATCACACGAAATTTATGAACATAAAGATATAAAGGGGTCTTCCTCCTGTCAGATTTCACAAAGAAAGGGAGAATTTATGGTTGTTGGATGGCACTGCATGCCAACTAACAGTGAAGTTGCCATGCTATCAACATCGCTCAGCAACATTATCAGTGCCACTAACGACGGGTCAGTGGACCGAGTGGACGTTGAGCTATAGCAAGACTTATTTGTCAAACCAAATAGACTGTTGAAGACAGCAGTAACCTCACATTATGATCCCTAGAATTTTCAATCATCTTCCCGATCGAATCAAAAACATTGATTATTTTCATGTGAAATTTCGCGACCAAGCAGAGAAGAAATAAAAATCACCATGTATATGCCTTTAATTATAATTGAAATTTTCTTTTTCTCTTAGCTGACTCAACCGGTCTTTACTCAGTATACTCACAATACCAGGAGTACGAAGTCATGTTCCATGTTTCAACATTGCTACCTTTTACTCCCAATAACAGGCAACAAGTATTATAATTTTGTACCAAAAAATCATTTTAACATTTCTTTTAATCAAAAGCTCCTTCGAAAAAGACACATCGGAAATGACATTGTGACCATTGTCTTCCAAGAGCCTGGGGCTCTACCCTTCACACCAAAGAACATTCGTTCCCAGTTTCAGCATGTATTTATCGTGGTGCAGGCCATCAACCCGTGTTCAGAAAACACCCAATATAAAGTGGCAGTTAGCAGGTCAAGAGATGTGCCCATTTTTGGCCCTCCTTTGCCGGAGAAAGCCCTTTTTTTTCGTTCAAAGGATTTTGCAGATTTCCTTTTGGCAAAAGTGATCAATGCTGAAAATGCAGCCCACCGATCAGAAAAATTTGTAACAATGGCCACCAGAACAAGACAGGAGTACCTGAAGGACTTAGTTGCAAACCACTGCACCACCACAGCCATTGAGATCAGTCAAAAATTCTGTAATTGCATTGGTTGAAACTAAAAATTTGATGCTAACTTTAAATTTACATGCAGCAATGCTTTCATTCAGTAGCAAGAAGAAGGACAAGTCGAACTGCTCACAACGAAGGTCTGTTGCTGAAGCTTTCCAGCAACGGGGCGCAATTGTTTGGCATGTGATGCTGGACGACAGTGGACAGTCAAGCAGAATTAAGTGCTTGCTGGCAATTTCTGTTGAAACTCTAGTTATTGTGGAGGAGAGCTCAAGGGATGTAATCTTTGTTACACCATGCCGAGCGATTCTTGGTTGGTCAGCAAGTGGAAACAGGTAAATAAATTAGAATAAATTTAAATTTACTTTGCAACTAAATTGAGAGATTTACTGCACAAGACCTCTCGCGGAGCAGTCTTTTCAAACATAAATTCCAATTTTTTTTTCATTATTGGATGATTTTAAACAAATTACAAAATTTTTCGAGCATCAAAATTTATTTATTTTTCAATAATTTAAGTCGTACATTTGAAGATCTCACGGCAAATCAGTGCATAATTTTTTTTTATTATTTTATTTTTTATTGTGTATTCCTCTTGGATACTGCCTGCCAGCGGAGGCAGTCAGATTACCTAAATCTCAAGGGCAGATAACACAGGTCTCCCGAACAACAATAATAATAATAACAAATTCAATTCATTTATTCTCTCGCAACAAGTCTTCTTCTTCGACTCCTTGCCGGAAGGCATAAACACAGTTGTTTTAATTCTTGCAATTTCCTAGGGAAACAGGGGGGTTGAAGGAGCCGCAGTTCACAATACCGGCAGCAATTTAGACTGATTGAGTTGAAATAATATTTTAATTAATTTATTGTTAATACTTGACAAGTACTAGATTGTTCATCTTAGATAGCTCGAGCAGGTAGTAAATTGAAGCAGAGAAGATTGAATTGATTTTAGTTTTACGTTTTATTATATCTGTGCCGCTCTTACAAAAGATATTTCCTCTCCCCGGAGAGAAGCAGTGATGCTGTCCTGGTGCTGAAAAGGGCCAGGGCCGTCACTTAAAAATCACATTGGGAGAGAATTGGCAGCCAGCTCTAGTAAACAACTTACTAAAACTCATAGGCTCAATTTGGAAGCAAAAGGGTTTCCAACTTAAACCTACTCGCCGAACTGGAGCCGTAAATGGGGAAAAAAATTCAAAGGGTTACATATATTTTGCATGCAATTTTAAACTCAGGAACCGTACAATTTTTTAACGCAGAAGGCAGGGAATTCCACTGATCCGCGACTCGGAAAGAAAAACTTTGTCGACCGAGCTCTGTGCGCACTTTTGGGAGAATTGAACGGTGCTCGCCGCCACTATTTCTCATCACTCGGCCGGTGGTGATTCTCGCCTTTGCGTCCATGTCAGTCTCGCCACTGGTGCATTTCTTGAAAAACATCAAGTCATTAAACTTCAGCTGCTGCTGCACCGACAGCAACCCGTGTTCGGCCGCGTCAGGGATGTGCCGCCCGTACACAAACCTGAGGGCTCTTTTTTGCACTCGCTCGAATTTGTTGATGTTAATATCGATGGAGGGGTGCCACGCGGGGGTGCCGTAGAACAGGAGAGGTTTCACCATCGTCTGGTAGGCCAACATTTTCACGGCTGTGCAGATTGCGCGCCGCGAACGAGAGCACCTTTGCTGCTTTGCCGCGCGCGATGTCCGTGTGTTTGCTCCACCGCAGGTCTTTGGACACTTTTGGACGCCGAGGAGGCGCTCGTCGGTGACGTACTCGAGGGTGGAGGCGCCGATTTTATAGACGTCGTGCCGACGTGTCCGGGCACGCGTCACGTCCATTACGTGGCACTTTGCCGGGTTCAGGGACATGCCGCTGTTGTCGCACCACGCCCGGACACTGTCCAGGTCGGCCTGCAGCAGAGCGACGTCCGAGGGTTTCAGAATTTCGCGCCAGAGGGTGGCGTCGTCCACGTACTGAACCAATTCGGAGTTAATGTTAGCGGGCAGGTCGGCGACGTAGATGTTGAACAGCAGCGGCCCCAGGACGCTGCCCTGGATGACTCCGGACAGGACACTTTCAGGTTCTGATTTTGCTCCTCCATAGACGACGAACTAGCTGCGGTCGGTCAAAAAACCTTTCAGCCAATTTAGGAGGTTGCCGCCAACGCCATAGTGGGCGAGTTTGGACAGCAGACGGTCATGTGGGATGCGGTCGAAGGCTTTGGCCCAGTCCAAGAAGATGGCGTGGACGTGCGTCCCGCTTCTTTCGTCCAGCCTGCTGGCCCAACTGTCACAGGTCTTGCACAGTAGTGTGGTGCACGACCTTTTTTGTCTCAACCCATGCTGGCAGTCGGGAATAATTTTGCTCGATCGTTTATAAAATTTTCAACCCTGTCTCGCACGCACCTTTCTAATATTTTTCCGACTAATGAAGTTACACTTATGGGGCGATAATTGTCAAGGCAGCACTTTTTCCCACTCTTAAAAATTGGAAGTGACTGCAGCCGTTTTCCACCCCTCTGGAAGTGCACCCTGCCGAAGGGAAAGATTGAAAATTCGAGCGAGGCTGGGGGCGAGAGAGGCGGCACACTTATTCAGCACAATCGCGGGCACCGTTGTCGGGGCCGGTCGCTGCATTTGTTTTTATTTGCCGCAGATGGGAGCACACACTCGCCTGCGCTAACAGAAAAATCACTCAACACTGGGGCGTCTGGGGCCGCCGCGCTGGCAGGTGATCGGCGCACGAATAGGGAAATAGTTTTGCACAGTGTTGAAATTCTTGAGAAACGCACGGCTGAACGCGGAGGCGACTAACTCGGGCTTCGACACTTTCTCGCCACCAATTTCAAACACTGCGGCTGCAGGCGAAACTTTACTCTTCTCCTTCACGTAGTTCCAGAAAAATTTATTTCCGCCTGGTCCACGGCCCAGATCCCACATTCACTTATCGCGTGCCAGTCGAACTGCCTTCTGCACAGATTTTCTCGCTTTTTCAAACTCGAGACGTGAGAAAGCTGATTTTGTTTTACGGTTGGCCTTGGACCCACTGGCCACACTAGGCAGGGGTGAAAATAGTATAGGAGGCCGGAGGATCAGGTTGATGGAATATCAAGGATGAGGAAAGTTATCGGCTGCGGCCTATAACTAAGCCGGCATTTGCCTACAAACCGCAGAAAACACCAGACTGCAAATAGGCGGAGTTGCAGACAAAAAGCCCTCAATTTCCCCCTAATCTGCCTGTCATATATCAATGCACCATGCACCTCTTATGATTTCCTGAGGTCTTGATTGTGATCATACCGACAAGTAACAGCCAACGTAACAGCTTTTTCTATCCGTGACTCCAGCTGGCATAGAACCTAAGTCCTCCAGGTTATCAGCCAAGTGCACTAACCACTGCGCCACTAAAGTAAAAAAAATTGAAATTCATTCCATTTACTCCATTTCTCTATGGCTGAAATAATAAATATTATCTGAAGCTGAATCCAACAATGTCATTTTCCGTTAACATAACATTTTTCAGTAATTGAATTTATATTATGTTATTTTCATTGTAGCAATGTGGACAAATCGGACAAATAACAAAATAATGGGCTCAATTGTGAGTGGGAAGGTTCGGATATTGACGAAAAAGTGCAGCGCCCATTTCTGCACTCATTCTTCTGCGCCGTTTAGTGCCACACAGGGAGCCTATAGGTCATGACCTGATTAACAAGCGATAGATATGCACGATTTCTTTGACGCGAGGGGTGCAGCTGCAGTTTAGGGCTGCACAGCTGAGAGCTTTTGGTTGCACACGATATCCGTCTGATTCTGCCACTAAAGGTCACTCGCGACATATACGGACGCCGTACTCGGCCATATACTCACGCACTATTTTCCAACGTTAGAAACAAACGGCGGTGAATATTGTAACAATAATTGGGAATTTTGATTTGGAATTATTGTTTAAAACTGAATATTCCTTTCTCAATTAATCCTTTCCCTTGAACACACAAGAACACAATCACTTTTATTAAAATTATTTTATTCGTCGTAAAAAAAAATTAATTGGGTGGTGCATTCTGTCTGTACCACCAATAAAGGGCACCGGGTAAAGGTCTCTGACCTCGTGCAGTTTTGGTTTAGTCGCCCACGATCACTGGTTGTGAAAAAACCACCCGGCCTCTGCTGTGCCAGCAGCAGGTTGGCCGCTTCCTCTTGTCAATTGGAGGATACGAACGTTCTGCGAGAAGAGTCTACATAAGTTGCTTTTCAGAATTTTTCCCTTAATTGGGCGGCATCCTGAATGGACCTTCTGGACCATTCCTTCCCTTGGTTCATTTTGAAAATTGGGCGCGTTGACTAAACGAAATTCTTGTACAACCCAGGTGCCCTGTGGGGCCGTTGATTTGCGCAACTGTCCGGCCCGGCAGAGCTGCTGTCCGCCAGCGTCGTTCGCGGATGGGGCGCGCTGTCGCCAATTGCAGCGCTTTGTGCTCACGAGTGACCGCTCCCCTCGCCGAGACCATCTCGACACCCAGCTCACGATGAGTGTACCTCTCGTTTGTGCTTTTAAGTGATATCGAACCGAACACTCGTTGAGTGAGATTTTGATTATTTTTTATATTTTTCTAAATTGGTATTTTTGTTACACATTACACTTTCTACACACATTTAGCCCCACCTACTAACCACACACAGTTAAATCTCAATTAATTTACAAATACAAATTTCTTATTATTTTTTAATTGACTCGCTTTGCAATTAAATTCCGTTTTGAAATTAAAATTAAAAAACTATTCTTTTCTTTTGCAATTTTTGGTTCTTTAATTTGAAATATACCTTTTTTGCGCATCGTTTCTGAATTTGAGATTTATTTCTGAGCAGTTAAATTTAAACTACTGGATAAGCAGAACCCACACATTGGATCTGAATCAAAAAGTAACCCTGAGTGTTACAATATCACCCCTGAACTTTTTTCCGTTGAGACTTTTCTTTCTTTTTAAGTTAAGAAAAACATAAAAAATTTACAGTAATTGTGTTTTTAAATACATTAGCTACATTCAAAGGAACTTACAAATAGATTTGCTATCAAAAAAATTACATTTTTGCAAGAATTCCTTTAAATTAATGTGTTTCAGTTTGAGGATCTACTACCATCAGGGTGAATGCATCACCATTCATGTGAGTCAGGACAGTGATCATGATGAGCTGGTGGAACTAGTGGTGCGCCTGAGGTCAGTGTCCCCTGGCTGCCCAGGACTAGAGATGGCCCTTAGGAGAAATGGTGCCGGTCAGCTTGGTTTCCATGTCCAGCCGGATGGTGTAGTCACCCAAGTGGAGCCAACAGGTCAAGCGTGGCAGGCAGGTTTGAGACAGGGTGCTAGACTAGTCGAGATATGCAAAGTAGCCGTCTCCACCCTTTCTCATGATCAAATGGTGGACCTCCTGAAGACCTCCACCATGGTTACTGTCACTGTGATACCTCCCCAAATTGATGGCTTGACAAGACGGTAGGTCTGTTTGAATTTACTGAATTCTTTGATTTTCTGAAGGTTCCTTTTCAGAGGGTGCAATTTGCCTAACTGCAAGTACAATCTGAGTAACTACGAGGGTGATTACGAGAACTTGAATGGTCACGATGAAATTGAAAACGCCAAAACACACAGCAAGCCAATCAGCCAGCTGGCTGGAAACCACAAGAAGAAGCAAGTTATTTTTAAGGGGTTTTTACATGATTTTACTGAAACTGTGCGAGAAAAACTTGACTTTAAAAAATGGAATGCATATCAAAATTTAGACTTTCAACTAAGAAATTAATTTTAAGTGACTCAAATTTTTTTTAACCTTTTGCGTCCCCAAAAAATAAAAAACTCAATTAAGTCCGGAAAATTAGGGCAAACAGATAAATATAATTATGCTTCCAAAAAAACCGATGTCCATTTTTTTTTCAGTTCCAAAGTAAAAAACAAGCAGCCCTTGTCGAAGAGCATGACAGAGAATGACAGAGTATGGGAGCATCATCTTCTGTCATTCTCTGTCATTAATCCTGTCATTCTGTGTCATTCTCTGTCATGGATTTTTTTAGCTGGGCCCATGTGAGGCCCAAGCCGGGCCCATTTCATTCTCTGTCATTCCCTGCCATTCTGTGTGATTCCCTGTCATACTGTGTGATTCTCTGTCATATTTTATTATTCTGTGTCATGTTGTGTCATTCTGTGTCATTCCCTGCCATTATGTGTCATTCTGTGTCATTTTGTGTCATTCTTTGTCATAATGTGTCATTTTGTGTAATTCTCTGTCATTTTGTGTCATTCATATTTTAGGGGCCCCATATGGGACCCTAACACTGGGCCCATTTCGTTTGACTTCATTCCTTGTCATTCTGTGTCTTTCTGTGTCATTCCCTGTCATTCTCTGTCATTATGTGTCATTCTCTGTCATTATGTGTCATTCTCTGTCATTTTGTGTCATTCTGTGTAATTTTGTGTCATTCTGTGTAATTTTGGGCCATTCCCTACCAGCTGCCCGCGCGTCAATATTTAAAGAAAAAAAGTGCAATTAACAATATAATTATTGATCATCATCACAATAAACACCAAAAATTTTTATCCATGAGCTCAAAATATTGTTAATTGCACTTTTTTTCTTTAAATATTGACTTGCGGGCAGCTGGTAGGGAATGGCCCAAAATTACACAGAATGACACAAAATTACACAGAATGACACATAATGACAGAGAATGACACATAATGACAGAGAATGACACAGAATGACAGGAAATGACACAGAAAGACACAGAATGACAGGGAATGAAGTAAAACGAAATGGGCCCAGTGTGGGGTCCCATATGGGGCCCCTAAAATATGAATGACACAAAATGACAGAGAATTACACAAAATGACACATTATGACAAAGAATGACACAGAATGACACATAATGGCAGGGAATGACACAGAATGACACAACATGACACAGAATGATAAAATATGACAGGGAATCACACAGAATGGCAGGGAATGACAGAGAATGAAATGGGCCCGGCTTGGGCCTCACATGGGCCCAGCTAAAAAATCCATGACAGAGAATGACACAGAATGACAGGATTAATGACAGAGAATGACAGAAGATGATGCTCCCATACTCTGTCATTCTCTGTCATGCTCTTCGACAAGGGAGGGGAACACACATTTTTAAGAGGTTTTTTATTAATTTTTTTTTCTTTTATTGCATATTACTCTCTTTGTTTAAAATTAAAATTTTTTGTAGATACGAGCGCAATTTGTCCCCTCCACGCTCTAGCAACAGTTCTGGGTATGGAACCGGAAGCAGCAATAAGTCCTTTGTCGCCCGTTCTGCTAATCCTGAGGGCACAATGACCAGTTCATCAAGCGGTCATTCTGGTGATGAACGTTGGTACGAGGTGATGGAGGCGTCTGAAAATGGAGACTCACCTCCGCCTTTACCAATCCGCCTTGGTGGTGGTGTCAGTGCCTTCCACCAGGTCAAGGCTGGTACTGGCTCTGAGGAACATAAATACCTCTTGGCATCCGGCACTTATGCTGTAGGCACCATTCAGGCCTTCCCGACACCCTATGTTGAGTATAAAATGGCTGTTGCTGGAGAAAAACACGTGGAAGCTATCAAAGGAGGAAAGGGGAGGTCGGAACGGGCCATGGAATACTTGGCCAGAGTGCCCAAGGTGAATATTGCAATTCCCTGTCATTTATTTATTTATTCGTCTGCGCATTTGAATGCTGTTTAATCCTTTAATTTTCCATTTTACTTAAGATTTTGTTGTTAAATTACATAATTATGTAAAAATAAGTAAAAAAGTTAACTTTTCTATTTATTTCAAGTTAGGAAATTCTTTGTCATGTATTATTGTTTGTTCTACTTGTCATTGAAAAAAAAGAGCAGAAAGGATATCACGTCAACCGTGTGGCCGGCTGCAAATTCAGATGTTAAACTACTGATTTGAATGTCTTTAGAACTGAAGAACTCGACTTTTGTTTTTATTATAACAAGACGACTCTACTACTAGTTTCTGTCACGGTCTGCGACCCTATTATTTCATGAGCCAAAAAAAGCATTTTTTTTTTAAAAGAAAGATATTTTTTTTCTATCTGGTACAAATCCAGCCAAGCTCAATAGATTAGATTAGATCAAAATTTATTGCATTAGACATATATAGTGCATCTCCAATTTGTCTTTACAACAAGTCAATAAAATAGCAAAATAAAAACTCCATGATGAGATCTTTTGAACTTTCGGATGACTGCTCTTTGCGCTCTATTATAGCTATTAACAGGCAGGTCGTGTGTAGTTCGAGACGAGACTTAGCCCAGGCTTTTGATGCAGAAAGAGCTTTCTAATGCCGCGCGCGCAAAATAGGTGCATATAAAATCGTGATTTGTTATTACCACTCGACCGCAGCAGACTTGAAAGAAAGAGAGAAACTTAAACGAAACGCGTTGTCATCTGTGAAAATAGGACTTTTGACGATTTTGTCTCAATAGCTTTTTATTGCTTTGAAACCTACAAACTTTCAAGCAAAATCGTTTGTTGATTTGATTTTTTTAGTAGCGCAGGCCAAAGCAAAAGTCTCGTCAGCGTGTGATTCGGGCGCACAAGGAACCAACGAGACGCAGCTAATTTTTTGTGTGATCTCTTAAGTGTCGTTAAGAGAATATTCCTTATTATTGAATGAAGCAATTGAAATATGTTTCCTATAGCAGAGCAAGACTTGCTTGTTAAACTGATCAGAAAGCTCAGCCCGCACAAATTACGATCACGAGAATTTAATGAATCATTAGATTAGATTAGATCAAAATTTATTGCAGACATTTCAATTTCAAATATTCTTTATTTTGTTAAGCATTAATATGCAGTAGCAATAACACTTTTTAAAATAAGTCAAGATACACAGCATTATTCAAACGATAAAATTCATTTAAGTCATAGAATTGGTGTTGAAGTACAAAAGTTTTCACTTCCTTCACAAGTTCCTCGTCATTTTCATGTACATATATAGTACATATCCAATTTGTCTTTACAACAAGTCAATAAAATAGCATTATTCTACATCCAAATTTTCAAATGTAACATTCAGTGATTGAGGGGGGTACCATCATAATGTCCTAAAGAAAATGTCCTAAATTGAGGTTAAAGACAATGTCCTAACAGAGAATGTCCTAAAGAAAATATCCTAAAGATAATGTCCTAAAAGCTATGGTCGCACATTGTCCTAAAAACTTTGTCCTAATTGAATTTCAAGAAAATGTCCTAAATTTCGGAAAAGTGGTTGATTTATTCTAAAAAATTTAGTTTTTTCAACAGTGACTAACATCCAAAATGAATTCACTTAAAAGCAGAAAGAATGATGCTAATTGTTGAGCTTCTCTGTCACATTTCAAAAGATAGTTGATCAAATAATTCAAAAAATAAAAGTGTATAAAAGTTTGAAACAATCATATTATTTTCCACAAATACAAATTATTGTTAATAATAATATTATTAACTACAACTTACATTGAAAATAAATTTAACGAATATTTTCAATTAGAATTTTTCATATTTTTTGTCTTGAAAAAAAATCGAATGATATTTTTAAGTAAACTTTTTCGTAGGAAACAAAAATACAATTGCCTGAAGATTTGTACGAAATTCTTTGAAACTATTGTCTAGAAGAAAGATTAATAGCTACATTTCTCAACTACCCGTAGCAAAAGCGAAGAAAATAATATTGAAAAAAATATTCGAGTCATTACAAAAGCCTAAAATTACTAAAATTAGTCAAAGGTCTAAATATGTATATTTTCCGATAAAGACTCTAGTCGTATGAAGCGTAAAATATGTTGAATCTGGATAAATTTTGAAACAAAATTACTTGAAAGGATGAAATTAAATTTTTTTTCACATGACACATGACTTTTCATAATTTTCAGGCGTTAGGATATTGTATGTTAGGACATTTTCAATTCTTAATTTTAGGGCATTTTCTTTAGGATATTTTCTGTAGGACATTTTCTTTAGGATATTATCCGTTAGGACATTTTCTGTTAGGACATTGTCTTTAGGACATTGTGAGGCACCCCATTGAGGGAGCTCGCACGCCATTGATATTTGGCGGGGGTGGGCAAGCATTTAACTACCCCTCCTCGTTTACTACAGGGGAAAACCACCCCCGAAACCCTGTAGCTCAGTTCACTCTGTTAATTCTAAGTGCTTAAAATTACATCTCCAATAATCGTTCATCATAAAATTGATATTTCGGCATATTTGACACTTTTAACAAAAAGTTGCCATAGTCAGATATTTCTTTCAGTACATTAGGTAATTTGTTGTATATTCTGGCAATCATTATCTCCGGACTTTCATTTACGCAATTTAGTGAGCTTAGCCTTACAAACAAATCTGTCTCAACATATGCCGTAGCACGCGTAGTGCGCACTACAACACCGGGAACATATCACGATTCAGTTTAAACTTTTCGAGAAATTTACGCACAATCTTAACACACTCCAAAATATATAATGAATAAACTGTAAGAACTCCAAATTTCACGAAAAGTGGTCTACACGGTCTAGTGCCGAATTACTTCGCCAATATTGGACACCAGCCATTGCTCTGATTACTTGCTTCTGCGCTAAAAAAACATCTTTCATATGTGTAGAGCCACCCCAGATTACAAAAGAGTTCAATATTCGGCTAGCCGCGTACGCATATGATAGGCTTGGACTAGAGTTGTTTCCAGTACTTTTTCTCTCAACATTATAAATAGATACGTAACACTGCGCAACTTAGCAACCACTTCACTGCACTGCTTGCTCCAACTCATTGTATCGGTTATCGTTACTCCAAGAAGGCTTTTCACAACAGATAATTCCTTATTGTCAATAAAGACTTCGGTGTTTAATATTTTATTTGACTTGATGTAAGATGCTGTATGTGTATTTCATTGTATCTGAATGGAGAATAAATATATAAATAAATTCGGGCTGAACTATTTTCCTCGTTTGAGCGGTATGCATTGACTTGTTTGGCTGTTTTAGCTTATCAGCTGGTGCTCATGTTAACTGACGACAAGCAATTTGCTCGCCAGCTATAGAACTAACATAATATGCACAGAATTATAATTACAAAAAAGTGGGTCATAATTAATGGACAATATAAATTTTTTTATTTTCATTTATTTATTCTCCATTCATGGTACATACAACGCAAAAAAAATAATTTAATTTCACTTCAGCTTTTCTTTCCTAATTTTTTAATTCAAGAGGTAATAAATTTCACAAGCGTGGCAAAATGAACTGAGAAGTTAAAGTTCGATCAAAATTTTGTTTTCATGCTCATTGGTTCTATAACAGGGTTTTGTTGTAACATTTTTATGTTCAGGGAATGGTTGTAACGTGCGAATCAAAATATTTAACACGTAATAAGTTTATTTCAAAAATTTTGTCAACCTGTAATACATTCCAAAATTTATTTGATTATAGTTTGCTCGTGCTTCTCTAGAGTTTTGAAAAACCACATTAACAGCAAATTCAAAATCTAAAAACTATAAATAAATTATTGTACCAACCTATTTTGAATGTCTTTTTTTGCAGTTGCCTGATTTCACACAATCAAATGAAAATGTTCTGAAGAGCACTAGTCTTCCACCAGAGATGGCAATGATGAGAATGGGGAGTCCGTGTGGAACCCATTCCAATGGCACCAACTCTCCATCTGATAGACTACTTGGAGCTCGCAGTGAAGGTTAAGCAATTTTTTTTTTTGATTTTCAGCGTTGTGTCAGTTGTGTGTTTTTCAACAAGAGTGGCCCACTCTGCTGGGAAAAATGCAACATCCTGGCCGCATTTTTAATTTTCTGGAAGCTCTCACAAAATGAGGCGGCAGCTTCCTTATAGACTGTTTTTTACATATTTATTTATTTATCATAGATGAGCTTTCTGCAGGTAGTGTAAGTAATTTGTCTCCTCAACTGCGCCGAGGCAAACGTGTAGATCCACCCCTAACTACCTCAAGTGGATCTTCAAGGAATCAGAGTCCTCGATCTTTTGGCTCCACAACACCTGGAGGTCGAAGTGACAATGGTGAGCCTCGTTTGAGGCCTGGGGCCACTGGAAGAAGCGGCTCTTCCAACCGTAATAGCGCCAGCCTCAACTCCAGTTCCCTTCAAGAAGACCTAATGAGACTTATCAACCCTGACTATGCTACTGAAGAAAATCCTGCTAAGGTATAAATTGAATTTATCAAAGTTATTCGCAAGGATATATACTACGTGCATTATTCAATCAATCAATAGATTTGTTATTCTGTGTTAGATCTTTAGAATAAGTCTTATAAATCTAACACATTGAATCCATTCATTCGAGCTTGCACAGCATATGGATATCATAAAACAATTTCCTCACTTTGGTAATAAATATATAAGCATTGTCGTCAATCTTTTTCTCTTAAGGAGCTTATTGAAAATTTTCGAGATCATAATTTCAGGGCTCTGAATTAGATTTAATTTACAGGTTTTCGAAACAGATCTATTTATTTTATTTGAAGGGGTTTAGGCGTCGCCCTTCAGAACGACGATGGAATAAAACCAGTTGAGTTGATTTAAGGTTTTTGTATTATGCCCGGAACCCATGGTGGGTTCGGGGATGAAGAGGGATCCGCAGCGGGGACCGTCGGTTATTGTAGTCGCAATGGATATGGGAGGAGAGCACTGGCAGCGCTGCTCATGTGGGCTTGTTCAGGTGGTAATCTGGAGGAGCACTGCGCGCCACCAGGCGGCGGCTGCTACAGGGGCCTTCCCCAGACACTGGAGGTGTCAAAGTGGGGGTTGAAGGTGACCTGCGATGGTGGTGAGTTTGATGGTTTATTCGGTCATTGGCAGCTTGCACGACGAGGAGTCGTCACAGCGAGTTACTGCTGTCGGCAAACAAGGTGTTCTTGGGCGTCTAGGAGGCAGAAGGGACAATCCTTGTGGCATGAGAGAGCCAGCGGTGCAAGATTTCCAAGTCAGGAACTTTTTGATGGAAGTGGTGAGGCACAGCGAGTCGGACTGTGGTCACTGGGCAAGTCGGTCTTGCGTAGTTGAGGTGAGGGGTTGTTGTCTTCAGGTATCGCTGAGTTGCTGGACCTGAAGGGGCGCAATGGCTGCGGTGGACACGGCGCAGTGGGTCGGCCGGTGCTGACGAGCGGACTAGTCGTTCTTGTCGATGAAGTTCGAGATGTTGCCTTCAGGCAGCTGAGTTGCTGGACCTGGAGGTGGCGTAATGGCTGCGCTGGGCACGGCACAGTGGGTCGGCCGGTGCTGAGGACGTCAGTCGTCCTGGTGGAGGAGGGTGAGTGCGAGAGCTATGTTCGAGAAGAGTGCGTCGGTGCACTGGCAGCAGAGGTGGCATTTGAAAAAGTGAAACTTGTGATTAAGGAAGTTACTGTAAGTGACTGTATAGTTGAAACAGGGTGTCCTGTGGCATCAAGGGTGCAGGCAGAGACACTTCTGCTCAGCTACAAGTCACCAAAATCAGAGGTGCTGGCCGGAGCGGTTCAGACAGCGCAGCACTCCGAGTGAGGTTGGTTTGCGTTGCAGGTGTGTGGCGAAAAGTTGAGGAGTTGTTCAGCTTTTGATGAGAATGACGCTGTTGGTTGCAGAAGGAAGGCTTGACATCGAAGTCGGTGGATGTCCGAATTACCAAATTACCACCTGAACAAGCCCACATGGGCAGTGCTTTCCTCTCATCCTGTTCAACAACAACAACCGACGGTCCCCGCTGCGGATCTTTCAAGTTCCTCGTCATTTTCGAGGTTTTTCAGATTCTTCGGCAGCGCATCAAAAATTTTTGGAATCATATAATTAGGGTTTTCTACAGACTTTTTGAGAGCAATATGCCTTACCACTAGGTCATTTATACACAGATTGGTTTGATTATGTCGTGTCACCCGCCTCGTGTCGACACTATCACTATATTTTTGGAAGAGGTGACGATTCCGCACTAGAAATTTAATACATTCAAGTATATATAGAGAAGGCACAGTCATAATATTATATTTTATAAATAATGGTTTACATGTATCGAGGGCTTCGTTTGATCTGTAGTGGCGCGCAGTGCTCCAAATTACCACCTGAACAAGCCCACATATGGGCAGTGCTCTCCTCCCAGCCATTGCGACAACAACAACTGACGGTCCCCGCTGCGGATCCCTCTTCATCCCCGAACCCACCATGGGTTCCGGGCATAATGCAAAAACCTTAAATCAACTCAACTGGTTTTATTCCACCGTCGTTCTGAAGGGCGACGCCTAAACCCCTTCAGATCTCCAATATGGGACACCTGCCATTGCTCTCAAGGCTCTTTTTTGTGCTCGAAAAACATTAAACAAATGACAAGAGCCACCCCAGATCACAATTCCGTACATTATATGACTTTGTACATGGGCATCATAATATATTAATTTTAGGATATCATCGGACACTTTATGTTTCAATCTTGTAAATACATGTGTATACACATGTATACACGTACGTACCACTTCGTAGTTGATTAACAACTTTATCACATTGGTCTATTAGTTATTTGGATTCCTAATAGTCTACCAGTCTTTGAAATTTCTACTTTTTGGTCATGGGTCATGGATATTTACTTCAGGTTTGATAAGGTTTCTTGTTTGGCTTCTTGTATGTATTTGTAAAATTTTTGGCTGCTTTCATTGCACTGAAGAATCATCAGTAAACATTATAAGTGCAGCAAGCGGCATATTATTTTCCTATGCTGAGTAGCAAAAGAGGACCCCAGATTATAATTCTGTTCATTATTATCTGGAGAGGATAATATCCGGATAAAAGTCGATTTTGGCAGCTGGGGTGTGTTTATTTTTTCTCATAATATGTATGACTTTGAACATTGGTGAATGATACGTCCGAGCGGTCTCTCTTAGACCCGGACACACTTCTCTAGACTCTGGACACTGTCCCAGAGTGCTCAGTTCAACTCAAACCCTCTCAGGGTGCTCTCAGGATTCACAACACAAAATCACACACTCTCAAGTGGGAGGCAAGATCAGAACTAAACTTTTATTAGCGTAAGGGTTGCCAACATCATAGACTTTACTGCCAACCTAACACCTCCTCCTCTAGATTGAAACTCACATTGCAAATAAAGAATTTTGAAAGAAAATTAAATTGACAAGTATTTCCTAACCTCAAACAATTGAAATTTTCAAAGCTAATTTAAGGCTGAATACCCTGTCACTCTCATTCACTTTTTCTTGCTCAAAACAAAATCCTTCAAATATTCGGGTAATTTTCTGTCCCTTTGGGGACGACTGGGGGTCACAGGCTTTTGGGTTTCTGGGGGCTTTGCTTCAGGCGCTGCTTTTTCTGGCACTTCAATATTGGAGTGGCCTCTGGGGGTTCTGGAGGCAGGCCTTAGTTCTTGGTCAATTTGCTGGGGTTCGAAAGCAGTTGCTGGCTCTCGAGGTTCGACTCGTCTCGGACTTGGCTGTGGTTGGGCAACTGGAGAGCTAGGAGGTTGCAGAATTTTCTTCACCTGGTCCTTGTGGCGCTCCGTTGTTCCAGCATCCGTCTCGACCATCACTCGTCGTGGGCCTAAATCTTTCAGCACCACCGCCGGCTCCCATCTCTGCTTTGGGTTGCGGTAGCTCCGGACCACGACAGGCTGATTTTCTGGCAAGGGCTGAATTGGCTTCTGACGGAGAGCTTCAACCACCTTCCTGTCTCGGTCAGTTCGCCCCTTCAGTGCTGCAGCTTCTGGACGGAGTTTGTCAAGCAAAGTGAGTGGCTTCCTGCCCAAGTTGATGGTGTGGAATTATGGCCAAGTAAGAAACTGTCTAACTTGTTGTCCCAATCCTTCTCAGGAACTTTTTTTTAAAAATCTCTTGACTGTTTGAACAGCTTTCTCAGCCTGGCCATTGGTCTGTGGGCTGTAAGGTGGAGAATAAATCAGCTCCACACCATTGTCCTCGCAAAACCTTTTGAACTCCTCTGCTCTGAATCCTGGGCCATTGTCGCAGACTGCCACATCACAAACTCCTTGTATTCTGAAAAATTTTCTGACAAATTTAATTACGGTGGCTGCATCCATGTTGTTGACTCGCTCCGCATCGATCCAATTGGACAAGGCATCCGCAGCCACGATGAAAGCCTGGCCTCGTCTCACCTCGAGGAAATCAAAATGAACTCTGCCCCAAGGTCGGTGAGGCAGACTCCAAGGGATTACTGGCGCTTTGCTGCTAGCAGGGTTGACCAGAGAGCAGGGCAAGCAAGATTTGCAGAGCCGCTCAATTTCTTCATCGATGTGTGGCCACCAGAAATAAGAGCGAGCCAAAGTCTTCATTCGGACAATTCCAAAATGGTTTAGGTGCAGCAAGTTCAGAATTCTGGTCCTCAAATTCGGAGGTACCACTGCCCGACCTAAAAAGGTTAAAAGTCCATTAGTCACTTTCAAGTCCAGCCACCTTTTTTGGAATTCTTGAAATTCTATGGGTAACGCAGTTGGCGAAGTACCTTGGCGCAATTTCCTGATGACTGTTTGAAGTGATTCATCTTGTTGGGAAGCAGCTTGCAGCTCTTGCAGAGTTGGCAGCTGCTCAGTTGAACCACTTTCCAAGACTTGAAGGAAAGCAATCTTTGTCTCTTCCTCTTCTTCCTCCTCCGCAGCCAAGGCAGGCAGTGGTAGTCTGGACAAACAATCAGCATTTGCGTTTAGTTTTCCAGGGCAATGTTTCAATTCAAAGTCATAGTCTCGCAAAACTAGACAATACCTTTTTAATTTCGAAGGCAGTGCTTCAGCCATCGGTTTTCCCTTTCCAAACACACCCAGCAGGGGTTTATGATCAGTCAATAATTCAAATGGACGCCCCCACAGGAATTGCTTGAATTTCTTGACGCCCCAGACGATGGCCAAAGCTTCCAGTTCAATCTGTGAATAATTTTCACTCGTATTCAAAGATCTTGAGGCGAAAAATACAGGTACCTCGTTTCCCTTGTCGTCCAGATGGCTCAAAACGGCTCCCAAACCTCGACGACTGGCATCACAGGCAAGACGAATTGGCTTTTTGGCGTCGTAGTATGACAAGGCCACAGTCTCTTGCAGACTCTTGTTGACCTCTCGTACAGCTTTCTCGCACTCTTGAGTCCACTCGTAAGCCACGCCTTTCTTCAAAAGGCTGTAAACAGGAGCCAAAATTGAAGCCTTTCCAGGAACAAATCTCTCGTAATAGTTATAGTACCCCAGCCAAGCTCGCAGCTCTTCCACATTCTTAGGGGAGGGCATCTCAGCCAGGGCCTTCAACTTCTCGTCAGTTGGCAGCACCCCATCCTGGGTGAATTTGTAACCCAAGTAGGTCAACTCTGGAACAAGGAATTCACACTTTGAGATTTTCACTCTCAGCCCATTTTCCAGAAGTCGTTGGAGTACTGCTCGAGAAAGCAGTGTCAATTCTTTCTTCGTTTCAGCAAACAATAACAAGTCGTCATAATAAATGAACACGCCCTTTAGCCCCACCAGCACTTTATAAACCTTCTCTTGAAAAACTGGCGGGCAAATTGAAAGGCCGGGAGGCAGCCGAAGGAAACGAAACCTACCCCGATGTGTCGTAATCACAAGTAGCATTGAAGACTCCTCGTCCACTTCAAACTGAAGGTAGGCATCAGCCAGGTCGATCTTTGTAAAGAAACAGCCCTTCTTCACAGAGCTCAGGAGCTTTTCAATCGAAGGCACGGGAAACTCAGCCGACGCGCACGCCGGATTCACAGTCGCACTATAGTCTGCACACAATCTAACTCCATTTCCTTTCTCTACGTAAACCACAGGGGTGGCCCACTCACTAAAAAGCACTTTCTCAATTACTTTCTTCTTTTCCAACTCTTCAAGAACTTTATCCGCTTTCTCCAAAAGTCCAAATGGCACTTGCCTAGCAGGCAGCTGCACCGGTTTTGCTCCTGGCTTCAAGGGAATGGAAATTTTACCACCCTTAAACTTGCCTAAAGCTGGCTCAAAAACTTCTCTCAAGTCCTGAAATTCAGGTGGCACTGAAATCATTTTGTACACTGAAGGTAATTCTTGCTGCACATTTATTTTCTCTTCTAATTTCCCTCCGCTGAGCTTTGGCAGCCCCACTTTAATTCCCAAGGGCTCGAACCAGTTTCGGCCCAACAATGACGGACCATCTCTGTCCATCACCAGCAGGTCCAGCAGAACTTCTTGCTTGCCCTTTGGCTGCAAATGCACTTAAACTCGGCCAAGGGCAGCAATTTCTCCGTCCTGACCCCAAGCTTTCATTCTGACACGGCTTGGGAGCAGGAGTGTCTGTCTGAAAAACTCACAGTACGTCGAATGTCCAATCAAACTGAATGTGGCGCCTGTGTCCACCTCCATCTTCAGCAATTTGCCTTGGACAGGCACGTCCAACATCACCTTCTCAGTCGCCGAGATTGCTGGCGAGGACGACTCCACTTGAAGAAGGTAGTTGGTCACAGCCAAATACTGCTCCTTCTCCTCTTGTCCACCCTCTTCTTCCTCCTCGTCCAGGTCTTGGCCATCCATTTGGTAAGCTCTGTGTCCATTGAGGTTGCACACTTTGGCAATATGCCCTTCCTTCTTGCATTTCAAACACTTTGAATTTTTGAACTTGCAATCTTTCTTGAAATGTCCACTTTGTCCACAAGCATAACACTGCCAGCTTTTCCCAGCCAGCTGGCCTTGCTGCTGACTTCCTCTGCTGTCAGGCTTCTTCACATTGAACTGCCTTCTAGGCGGCCCAATTCGGTGCATATCCACAGCCGCTCTCGACTCCAGGGACTGTGCGCTCTTCTCTGCTGCTTCATGAGCCATGATCTTGTTCTTGACAAACTGCAGAGTCAATGTTTTGTCATCTTCTGTCAACAGCTTCTCCCTCAACTTGTTGTCTCTCAGACCAGAGATGAGTCTTGCTACCAACACCTCATCTTTGTCCTTATAACCACTTTTGGTAGCCAAACTGGTCAACTCTGCAATGTAGACAGCCGCTGCCTCGTCCTGTCTCTGCACTCTTGTATTGAATTCATGCTTGTAGACAATTTTCTTAGGTTCTTGTCCTTGGTAGTACTCACTCAGTCTCTTAGTCAACTCTGTGTACTTCACCTTCATCACTCCCTCTGGACACACTTTCTCTGCCACTGCAAAAGATTCCGGATCCTGATTGTCCAAAAACATGTTCCTCTTCTTCGCGTCAGTATCGTCTCCAGTCAAGTCCTTAACCGCAAAATGGATGTCCCACCTAGTCAAATATTGCGTATAAGTCAATACTCCACCAACTTGATACGGTTCAATGACTTTCTTGGACATTTTGAACACTTTTCACTCACTCTTGAAACATCCAATTTGCGACCACTGTCCGGATGCTCTTGATTTTTCCGGATTTCTTGCCTCACGCTGACCCTCTTGCGTCAGCCTCACCGTCCACACGTGGTTCTCGCCGACTCAGTTTTCGGCCCTCGTCGCCACTTTTGATACGTCCGAGCGGTCTCTCTTAGACCCGGACACACTTCTCTAGACTCTGGACACTGTCCCAGAGTGCTCAGTTCAACTCAAACCCTCTCAGGGTGCTCTCAGGGTTCACAACACAAAATCACACACTCTCAAGTGGGAGGCAAGATCAGAACTAAACTTTTATTAGCGTAAGGGTTGCCAACATCATAGACTTTACTGCCAACCTAACAGTGAAGTAAATCAATTTTAGAGTATTATCATATTTCAATCTAGTAAAATGTACATTATTTTTATGTTTATTCTCCAATTAAATAATACAGCGGCATAAGCAAGCAATAGAAATATTGTGCAGAAAAGCTGACACGTGAGGGTAAAGAAGGAAATTGTAAATTTAATTTCAACTTCAATTGTATTTTTGCAGGATGGAGCTGTAAATGCAAGCAATAAGGTCGTAGGAAAAATTCCCTGCTTGGATGTTTCCATGTCCAACAGGAACATCACCCGTTCGCGCTCCAGGGAAAACCTCGTTGTGGGAACTCCGCTTTCTATGATTTCTCAGGGGTCTATGAATAGCTTAGAAAGGGCAGCACCCAGTGAAGTAATATTCACAACAGCCAGGCCAGCGACTGTTATTTCAAACGCCTCCACTGCCTCCAGTCCTGCCCCCAGTGATACAAAATATGCCAAAGAAGAGAGGTAAATCACATTTTTCCATGTTTTAGTGTAGAATAAAAAATGATTGATAACATATGAATTCAAAATTCTCAAGGTTGTCTCCTCACGTCGCTAAATTGACACCTGCGAAAATGCCTTTGCCAGATACAAGGGAAATGGACTGGCCAAGCTTAGTGGACACGGCTGCAAGGGCAATGCTGGAAGAGGGCGCATTGTTGATGAATGAGGAACCCAGCCCTGCTGACTGCGGCCCGGGAACTGACTCTGTTCCTGAAGCAGCCAGAAATGGTGAACGCCTTGGCCACTGGGTGGACAATGTGGCTGACAAGCTTGGACTAGACACATCACCAAACAAGTAAAATTTTCTACTTTTATTGCTAGGTTTTTTTTTAAATAAAAGTTATATCCCTCTCTTATTATGATCTCTATGGAGGTCTGCGCTTAGGGAAGTGCAATTTTGATGCAAAATTCAAATTCTGTATTGGTACATTTTTTCCGCAGTGCTAATCAAAACAGACAAGCGTCAAATGTGCCGCCAAAACAGATGAGCAACTTGGAGACACGAGTAGTGCATGAAACTCGACGGCGCCTCAACCTTGAAGACGAGGTGCGTCGTCTGCGAGATGAGAACCGTCGGTTGCAGGAAGAATCCCAAGCGGCCGCACAGCAGCTGCGCCGCTTCACAGAGTGGTTCTTCAAAACTCTTGACAAACACTGAACCGGTTACTAAAAGTGACTCTCTTTCCGTTATAGTTCACTTAGCATCCCCCATCCCGTACCCTCTATAACTCACAAACAGTGTTTTATTAGCATGTTATTAATTTTTGTTGTAACGTTTGTACCAGAAGACACAAAAGAGAGAAATAAAGAAAGCTAGTGGACCAAATATGCCAGCTGCTTTAACAAAGCAGCATGTGTGTATGCGTTTGTATGTATGGTGTTGATAAAAGACCTTGCATGGACAGGAGGCCTTTTGGTTAAAAGGCCCTTCCTATTGTCCAAAAACCTCTACCCTCTATACTGTTAATCGCATAGCTTGTTCAAAAAGCTAATATTTATAAGGGCTACTTACTTCTGACCCTCAAAAAATATTTTAATAGATCGATTTTGTAACACAAAACTTTTATCGTTTAATTAATATAACCCAGCAATAATCCTTTAAAGTAAGAATAATTATTATTAATAATATTCTCTATTGACTTATGGTGTGATACTGCAATACAATACACTGGGCAGGCCACCCATCTCTGCAATGTAGATTTAGAAAAACAAAATCTCAAGTTGGCCGAAAAACATCCAACACTGTCCTTGAGAAAAAAAAAATGAGAAAAGCTAAAAAGTAAATAATGTCTTATAATCATTTTATTCAACTCTTCTTATTTACAACAATGACTCGGTATATATATGCAAACTTGAGATGTGATCATTCTGGTTCTGATCAAAGAGAGCTGCAGTTATGCTGAACACAAAATAAAGCTGGAAGGTACAGCATATTGGAGGCGTGCTATAATAGGGAGGCGAAAATCACAGTGAATTGACACATGGTGGCTAATCAAAGGAGGTCAATAGGTGCGTGCAGCGCGTGTACGGCGCACAAGCAGACAGCACGATGTCAGTCCAGTTCCCACTTTGGCTAATTCAGACGCAGCAAGCTGTCGACGATGCAGCTCGAATTTTCCCTCTAGGAGCTGAAATAGTTTTAAGAAAAATATGAATTAATAATTAAAAATTTTTATAATGAAGATAAGTTTCCAGGGTAAATATTTTATTTTTTATTCAATTTCAAAATTCCTTTATTTTGCGTTAAGCATTAGTTTGCAGTAGCAATAACACTTTTTTGAAATAAGTCAAGATATACAAAGCATTATTCAAATGGTAAAATTAGTTTAAGTTATAGAATTGGTGTTGTAGTACAAAAGCTTTCACTTTCTTCACAAGTTCCTTGTCATTTTTCGAGGGAATTAGATTAGATTAGGTTAAATCAAAATTTATTGCATTAGACATATAAAGTACATCTCCAATTTTCCTTTACAACAGGTCATTATGATAATAATTTGGTTTCATAATCATCAATCAACTAATACAACATTTTTAAGGTTTTTGGCAGCGCATTTTTTCTTGGGATCATTTAATCAGAGTTTTCTTTATTATTAATTATTCTTCTCGGTCAATACAAAAAATTTAAAATTGGAAAAAAGAGAAGAAAGGGTTTACAACTAGCAGATGCCTGCTAAAACGCCCGACATCAGAAGAGACGGCCGCCGCGGTAAACCTAGACCCACACTATCGGAAAAAAAGAACGATTATTATTATTATTATTATTCTTTATTGACTTATGAGACGTCGCCACGATGGAATTACTCAATGCGACGCGCCCCATTTGCAACATAGTACATGATAAGAGAGAAAAAAACAATATCACAATGCATTCATAAATTGAAAGAACTCTTTCCTATCATAAAATTTATGCACATGAACAAAACGCCTCAAACTGGTTTCAAAAACCTTATACCGAGGCTCCAAACGAACCGAAACAGGCAACTTGTTATACAAAGAAGACATGCAAGTCAAAGGGTTTTGGTTAGAAATTAACAAAGCCTGGGCCGGAACATACAAATCGCTCTTAGCCCTTGTCTGGTGATCATGAACTTCACTTGTCTTTTTAAAATAATGCGGATATTTACGAACAAACTTGCAAGATTCAAAAAGGTAAATTGAAAATATTGGAAGGAAGCCGAACCGAGCGAAAAGTGGCTTCGCAGAACAAAGCGGCTCCGTACTGCGCCAATAGCGCTCACCCGCAAGAGCTCTCACCACTTTTTTCTGCGCCAAACAAAACACAAACACTTTAAAATCTTCATCTTGAATTACTGCTACAAATGCTCCTTGCAGAGGGAGGGAAAATTGCTTAAGGGACAGTTTTTAAGGGCAGGTGGCAGGTCATTCCAAGGCTTGACTATCCTGAAGGAGAAAGCGCCGCGACCGAACTTGTTGTTGGCCGAGGGTGGCTGGAGGCGGGGGTCCTGTATGTCATCACCTCTCAGCTTACGACCCATTACAATTTGGGCGCGCGCTTCAAAGTCTGTCTTTTTTTTGTAAAGCCGGTCGCGAATTTTGATCAGCGAGTTTGTGTATTTATCCAGCCAAGGGAGAAGTCTTCTTTTGGCGCCACCGATTTTTTTCTTTGGTACGAATTCCTCTCCACATTCAAAGACGATCTTTTTCTAATTTTCCCACAGCCCATTCACCTCGTTAATCGCGAAAACTCTTGTTAGTCTCTGAGCGAGTGCGGCATTCAAATCGGGCCAAAACACTCGACGAAAGTCCAAAACTTCGCGCGGCGCCGACATTGGGCGCAGCGCGGTGGCCGTAAGGGTGGCGAAAAGGGCGTCTTGATCGCTCACCCCCGGTACCACCTCCGTGGCCGCAACAAGGGCAGACACGTCGGTCAGGAACAAGTCGAGAATGTATTCTGTTGTATCTGTTGTTCTGGTAGGGTCTTTTATTAATTGTGTCAGGGCCATTAATTAAAACGCGTCGACGAAATCTTCGGTGGGGGCGGCGCGGGCGAGAGGTGGGTTGCTTTGCCAGCAGACATTGAGATTAAAATCGCCAGTCAAAAAGCAGCCGTCAAAATTGTGTTGCTCGGCCGCCGCGAGTTCAAGTGAATTGATCAGAGCCGCGTTGTAGGCCGCGTCGGAATTTGGCCGCCGGTACGCCCGACCAGGAGACGCAGGTTGCCGACTTTTATTTGAGCCCAAACAATTTCCACGCGCCCCTCGACGTACTCTCGCGGCAGCCCCTCGTGATCGTGAATATCAGGCGAGAGCCACGTCTCGTTCATTGCGCATATATCGGCCGAATGTGTTTGAATCAGGGCGTGAATATCGGCGGCCTTCTTTCTGTCCTTTAAGGAGCGGGCATTGAAGGACAAGAACGAAAGGGCATTTCTGTTTATCCGGCGCGGCGCGTTTGTGACTCGAGAGGGGCTGGGAGGCGGCGGCGGCAAACTCCAGAACGAGTCATTAAAGTTAGGAAGATTGCAACTCCAGCAGCGGTAGTTTTTTTTTTCGCAGCCTATTGAACTCTTTGTCAGGGAGCTTTTCTGCCTTGATGAGACACGTTCTGTGAAATATTCGGCCGCACTCGCTACAATCTATTTTTACTGCATTTTTGCGTCCTACCTTATCACAGTGCACGCAGAGAATCGGGGCTGACCTTGTCGGGCCGGGCAGCACGTTGATGTCACCGCACAGCAGCGCGAAGATGGTGAGGAAGCTGCCTGCGGCGGACACTGCAGAGCGAAGGCTTCATTTGTCGCGCGGTGCACATATCAAGCGAGCAGTTTGCACATTCCTGTAATATGCGCTCCGCTCGCTCACCTGTGCACAGCTGACCGCGACCCAGTAGCTCACCACGCAGTTGTTGTTGACCTCCAGGGTGGTGAACTGGGCATACAGGGGGCTCGGCAGCGCCCGCGGGTCCTGCTGGTGGAGCCGCCGTTGAAGGACGTCGCTCTGGAGCCGCAGGAGGATGACACAGGCCAGGGTGAGTACCACGGTCCGCTGCATTCCGGCGCCGGCCATTCGTCTCCGTCTTTTGGAATTTTTCAATTTTCGTCTTAGTTTCGGACGGAAACGGGCAAAATGTCCCAAATCGTTTGGGGGGCATTTTGTGGTCCCCCTGGGCCCACCTCGGTGTTCTCTGTCTCGGACAAATCAGAGAAAAACTTCAAAAACCTGGAGACAATTCAAAGCCTCTGCGAATTCTTACCTAGGTGGCGCCCTCAACTCTACAGACATTTTAGGTTGTTACCCCGGTAATATAGATTGCCTCTGTGATATAACAATAAATATTATTTGCAATTATAGATAACAGAAAAGAGAAGCACGAAATAATCAAAAGTGGGGGAAGATCTTGTTGAAGCTTCATGCAGATTGAAAATATCTGCAGAGAGCCCTCTGCAGGCATGATCCCGAGAATATTTAATTCATTACCAAAAAATATTAAATGTTGTAATAGTGATGATGAGCTTGTATTTCCAGCATTGTACATAAATTTCCGACTCAAGTATTTTTGGCATTTTTTTGTATTCTTGTACTTTTTTATGTCGATGCATGATTCCGCTTTTTTTTTGTACAGTGTACTTTTTTGCGTTGTATGTACCATGAACGGAGAATAAATAAATAAATAAATTGTAAGTTGAAAAAAGTATATGTGCTGGAAAATCAGTTCTACGACATGGGCAATTTTTTCGCTCAAAGTAAATTAGTATACATGCTCTCTTTTAGAGTTGTTTTGCAAAAGCCTTGATGATGTAAAGTTGTTCACAAAAGCTGCTGAGAAAATTTTTTATGACAATATGTTTTATGACATGCATGAGTTTTTGTTGTGTAAACTAAAATAATATTATATGTTAAGGTATCGACTTATTCTAAAGATCGCTGTAAATATTTTGATCTAATGCAGAATAAATATATCTTGACTTGACTTGGTATAATCCGGCTTATATCACAACTAAATAAACTTGCACCCAGAATTTGTTCTATAACCATAGGAAGCCAAGATAGTCGATTGAAAATGTTCAAAATCCAAATTTGAGTTTCCCGTTAAACTCAAATTTGAAGAACTATTTATTATTTTTGAAAATCTTCAGGCATGGTTTTAAAGGTTCTAGAGACCTAGAAAATGGTTTACATTGGTTGACCCTGCCAAAAATATATTTATTATTCTTTATTGACTTATTATGGTGCGATACTGCGATAGAATACTCTGGGCAGGCCACCCATTTTCAAAGTAGTTTGTAACCTTTGAAAAATTGTCAACGTAGAATCCAATATTTAAAAAAATTTATACCTTGCATGTTTCAGGTGCTTCTGCATTACAACGGTGGAGGAGGGTTCCGTTGACTGAAAGCACATTTGCAGCACAATCTTCAGGTACAGTAAGGGTCTGGTAGCTAAAGGAGGCTTCTCGTTCAATGCGTTGCAACACTTCTTGCGCCGCAGTGCTTTGTCCAACGCACAACACGTCTGGCGCTGCCATGGAAACCAAAGCTTTCAGGTGGCGCGTCTCCGAGACCTGTGAATCACACCACAAGAGTGAAACAACGAGGGTAAGTGTGGTGACGGTGCGGTAGCGCTCGAGTGCAGCTGGTGGGCAGCACTCACCTGCAGTGCTTGACCCTGCTGGCCACCCTCGAGACGCACGGCGGGGCTCACCTTGATGGGGGTCACTGAAAACTCGGGAAAGGAAGCAGCAAGGGCGCGCGCCCCGGCCTCATTCGTCCATTCACTGAGGCCTACAAAAAACTCTCGTCCTGCAATATTCGAGGGGGGAGGAGAATAAATGTGTTTAAACAAAATCATTAGTTACAGAAAAATCAATAACATGATTCATAGAAAGGTGCATGTTGTCGACTAGGTGTTATATTTTCAGTGGTTTTCAGATTCATGAATTGGAAAAAGGTCAGCAGATTAAGTAAACGACCAGTACGCTTAAGAAGCGTGTCATTTCTTAATGTTTCGCCCCCCGCCCCCCAATTGAATTTTAACGTCTTATGTAAACTGCATGTACATAATTGATTAGTAACTCAAAATTTTTAATCATACTACAAAAATGAAAAAATTTAACAAATTTAAGTTTTGCATTTTATTCTTCGTTCTTCGTATCAAGATTTCAACTTGCCTCCCTCGGCACCTTTGTATCCTTGCTGAAGACTGCTTTGGTTTTGCAAAGGAATAAAAAAAATTAGTAAATTCAATTTCACAAAAAAATAAATATAAACGTCGATTTTGCTGGAGTTGGGATGTTTTACACCCATAAAATTCAAAGATTGGCTTTTAAATAAATTTTTGGAAAATTAAACCAATTTCAAATTCAAGTGTACAAAAGTTTTTGTGTTGTATAAATATTTTGCCCTCATTTTCATGATCCTCGCAAAATTCTAATTTAAGAAAGTTTTTTGTTTGTTGCAATTGGCCAAAATTGAAAGATGTTCACGAGGATCGTTTAATAAACAGTAAATTTGATTATTGCGCGGGATTAATGTTTATCCCGTCGACGCGGGTTAGGAAAAAGTAATCTTCAAAAATAAAATATTTAAGGCAGTATAAAATAAATAATTATTCCGGGTCAGGGGGTTAAAATTTATCTATTTGGATTTATCTCCGTATAAATTTTATACCTGGCGAACAAAAAGTCAAGAGAATAGCGCTCATTAATCAAAATTATAATAATGAATGATGATTTGATGAATGAGTAATGAGTTCAAACAATTCGCTTTGCGTCCAGCTACTTGTAAAATGGTAGCTGTCCTTATGTTATCTAATTTAATTTGTTCTAATTTAATCATATTATCAAAAAATAATAGCCGTGAGCGCGCCCAAGCCCAAAAATCTGGAGTGCCAGCAGCGGTTTTAGGGCGCGCGCGCGCGCGTGTCCAGCTTGCATTTTCATAAGTTATTATAAAAATTGGTTGTTACCAGTGAAAAGAACATCACCACCGTCCAATTTTGCAGCTTCATCAGAGATCTCTACAATTGGAAGGCCAAGCTCTTTTTTTAATACGGCACGAACAGTGTCAACCTGGAAATTATAAAGTATTTAAGGAATTGATTTTCTTATTTTGCAAAATGTTTTGTAATAATAATAAAGAAACATTAATTCCCAATTATAAATAATAATTACACACCTTAAAACTAGGATAAAATCACCTTCTCTGTTATTATGAGCAATAGAGAAAGATCTGTATTTTAAGAGAGTGCCAGAACTGCGAAATATGGTTTTTGGCTTTATTGGTAGAACAATCAATGATATGTATATAAGATTAGAAATGAATCTGAAAATGAATTAAAAATTCACGTGTGAAAAAATCATAGTCATGTGCGGGTATAGATACTATAGAAGATGACTTACTATATCAACACGTTAATCAGTTAATTTATATCAAATGTTGTTACTATAATTGATATAATATATTTTCGACTGGGGGTCCTTTCATGAAAAAGATTTGCAAATTGGAGTTAAATCCATCGTGAAACCACCCAAATGGAAAAGCAAAAAATTTTGAAACCTCTCCCTGGCGATGCGGCGCACCTGGGCGCGTAATCAGGGCAACGCCGTTGCAAATGACGGCAGTGTCCTCAACAAAGACGCACTCGGGATGCTGCTCGTCCGGCGGCAGTTCGACGACGTCAAGGCCTAGTTCACGCAGACACCTGCAGAGTGACTCGTGTTGCCTGCGCGCCTCTTCCAGGTCGATTTCTGCGCGTGTCCTGAATGCCACAGGCACCCTGCAAACTAGGGCGTGCGTGTATCGGAACATTCTTCCCGCTGAACCACGCCTCTCGCTCTCGTTTCTCACAAGCCGATTCACGTTTTCGATTTTCGATTCTTTCGTTTTGGCAATGCAGTCAACAGCAGATGCGACAAGGTCGGAAGTCACCGAACGCAAAATGTGGGATGTGCTCAGTCCTCACTGCACAATAAACCAATGATCAGAAATACTGGAAAACTCGGAAAGTGGCCTAAACTGAAGTTAGTTCCCACTAGTTTACAAGGGGAATGTTTTTTTATTCCCCTCAAATCAACTCGTCTCGAAGTTGCTAAAAGGCGTTTTCTTATTCCGATCCGATCGGTATCGGTAGATTCAGAAGTCCCTTCCCCCCCTGGTGTTCACATTCACACGTGTGGAGGCGCTGCGTCGCTGCGTTCTAAGGTGAGTAAAAGATAGAGGAGATGCGGAAGGGAGGTCACCTCCTAGGAGACCAGCGCGCTGATTGGCTCCGGACCAGTTTTAACAATAGGAGGCTCCTCCGCCTCCTCCTCTCCGCGCCTCCTCTACCTTTTTCTCTCCTTAGGAGCCAATGCACTTAAGGGAATTCGTGGGCGTTGTCTGTTGTCGTGAGGACTGAACTGAACGTCGTGTGGCCATGAAATGGACATAAGGTCATAATTTTGGATGTTGTTTTTCGGATTATTTCAGATTGTCTGTCTATGAGAAGATCGTGTAAAATTACACTAAATTGTGTAGTTGCTTGTTTTCTATTAAAATGATGCGCCCGCTCTTTTTGAAGTTAATCAAACAATCATTGTGTGCGAATTATCACGTTCATTTTTGTAGTCGACGGACATTGACTGCTTTTTCTATCACAAGAGCGCTCAGTTTGTCAAGTTCGTTGGGCAGAAATGAAGAAAGAAACAACAAAGAAGTGGCCACTAAAAGCCTATTTGACGTGAAGGAAAAGAACAAACGTGCGTATATCGACATGATCCGCAAGTTCAACGAACGGCAAGTGCAAAAGCGAGGGCACGTCGAGTTTATTTATGCAGCCATGAAGCACATGGATGAATTTGGGGTCAGCAAAGACCTTGAGGTGTACAAAGCGCTTATTGACGTTTTTCCAAAGGGTAAAATGATTCCCAGGAACATGTTTCAAACCGAATTTCAGCACTACCCAAAGCACCAGCAGTGTGCCATAGATCTGCTTCAAATGATGGAGACAAACGGTAGATTTAATTTTATTTTAATACTTTTATTGAATTTTTCCCATAATATAGGTATCATACCAGACATGGAGGTTGAAGTTATGCTCACAAACATATTTGGCAAGACTAGTCACCCCCTCAGAAAGTTCATGCGTATGTACTACTGGATGCCTAAGTTTAACAACCTCTCTCCATGGCCTGTTGCAAAGCCAGTGCCACAAGACCCATTTGAGCTTGCAAAGATAGCTTTACAAAGAATCACAAGTGTAGATCTCCTCACCAAAATTGAGGTTTATCAGGTGGATATATAAAAATTACAACGGGATATTCTTACTGTTTAACCATTGGGGGTTTTTTTTTTATAATTATTTTAACTTTCCACAAAATCAGTATTATATAATTTCCATTATATTTTAATGGATTATTCAGATTTATGCTAAATCCAAAAGAAATGCTATTGCGTGAGAACTGCTTGGAAAGAAAATCAACATCTCCATTGTAATTCGAAATTTATCCAGCTTGATGAATTAAAATAATTTCAGACTAAGAATCTCAAAGATTCGGTGGACAAAACATGGATAGTCAGTGCTCAGAGCCCTCTACAAAAGGAAATCCTAGAACGCCTACCATCGGACCAGCCCCTATATGTAGAAGGAGCTTTCAAAATCTGGCTAAGACAGGCATGTGTCCAATATTTCATTTTGAGAGGTCAACCCAAACCTTACACTGATCATGAGACAATGATTGAAAAAGATGGTAAGATTCTGTTTTGATCATCCTTCTTATATTGTTTATTTGATGAAATTTTTCTAAAATTCATGCTCTAAGAAATGAACAATTATTGGGAGGGTTTAATTGTTATTCTAAATGGCCCCCAAGATTTGGATTAAACTGCTGCCCTTAAAATATAAACATTAGAAGCTGGATTTTTTCAAGACCTTACTTCGGTGAATGTAACAAAAATCTAAAATAATGTCCACTTGTTGAATCAGGGTCTCGACCAATCTAGACTTGTAATATCCATAGATTATTGATTAAAATGGCCCCGTCCACTGCAGTGAGACTTGGTTGACCTACTAGTACTTGACCTAAAAAACAAACAAGAATAAATAAAAACAAGGATATTTCAAAAAACCATGTACATTTAAAATTTCTAAAAATTGCAATGGTTTTAAAAATACATTGATAATATTAGTGAATAGTCGGCTAAAATACTGCAAAATGCACTATTTTTTAACACAACTTTAGTATCAACAATTGTTTTATTTTATATTATTATTGATCTTTATTGACTTATGGAGCGTCACCACAATGTAGTGACTCATTGCAACGCGCCCCATTTGCAACATAGTACAAAAAAAGTAGAAAAAAAGAGTAAAAACAACAGAAATATTACAATTCAGCAATAAGTTGAAATAACTTTTCTTTTTTCTTTGTTATAAAATTTGTGGGCATGTACAAAACAAACCCTGCTCATCAGCTCTGTTATGTTGGCCAAAAAAAAGATGTCTACCTCCCAGAGCCATAAGGCCCCATGGCTCTGACGGCAGCCGTGTACCAACATAATTTCGGGACGAGCAGGGTTTGGTACAAAACATGTCAAACTATTTTCAAAAGTTTTATATCGAGGCTTCAAGCGAATCGAAACAGGCAATTTATACAAAGCAGCTAAACAAGTCTAAGGGTTCTGCTTAGAAATTAACAAAGTCTGGGCAGGAACATATAAATCACTCTTAGCCCTTTTGAAAATAATGCGGATATTTACGAACAAATTTACATGATTCGAAGAGATGGAAAAAAAACAGGCAGAAAACCGAGCGAAAAGCGGCCGCGCAAAACAAAGCGGCTCCGTACTGCGCCAATAGCGCTCACCCACATTAGCTCTCACCACTTTTTTCTACACCAGAAAAACCTCGTCCAGCGCTTGATTCTGATTCGACCCTCCCCAAATTACAATGTCATAGCTCATTATTGACTGACAATAAGCAAAAGTACTTTTCGCCAACAGCATGCATCAAATTATTAATCAAAAATATTGCACTATTTAATTTCCCAACCAATCTGAATGCTCAGTCCACTTCAAATTATGTGCCAGGTACAAGCTCAAAAACTTTGTCACATTTGATTGGGTCAAATTTTCGCCATTTATGTGCTTAAACGGAATGCAGCTTAATCGAGTGTCCAGCTCACACACAACTTTTTGCTATCAATGCAAACAAATTGCAAGGCTCGAAAACACGCCAGCCGAGCTCAGAGTGATCAGAATGCAAGCACACTAACCACTCTGCCACTAATAATCAAAATAATTATTCCAGATGTTTCAAGACTAAAAACGCCCTTCAGTGATGAGAAGACCACCTTCAAAAATTTGGAGCGCCTCAGGACAGTCCATGAGCAAGCTGAAGGCACGGTTATTGCAATTGCGGCTACCGGATCCTCCAGCAAGGACTCGCTCTTATCATGGATCAGATTTCTGCAACAAGAAGATCAATCTTTGGGCAGGATTCCTGTGCTATTTTCTATGACATCGCCATTTGGACAAGTTGTAAGTTTTGAAGAGGACACAGTTAAAAGAACTGTTGGTGTTGAAAAATGAATTTGACTGATTCCAATTTAAGAGAAATATTATTCATTCTGTGACTTATTAAAAGAAGAAAACATGAAATCAGTACCTTAAATTTTTGTTTCTACCTAAGTCAATAAAAAATAAAAAAATAAATGGTAGTTCAATTGTAATTGGGCTTTTCCCGTGATTATTTCATTGGAAAAAAACAAATGTCCTGTGCATGAATTTGTTATTTTGAATGAAACATAAACAACTCAAAAATTACATGCAGGAAATGTTGAATTTTCATTCAAAAACACCGCACCATCAATCAACCTGTAAGAGTTAAACTTTATGAAAAGAAAGAAAATTTTATGTGGGGCGCTTGGTAGCGCTTGAGTCGCGTAGTTCAGGTGTCCCTGAGAAGGACTGAAGGGACGTTTGGACTCCGCAGTCTGGGAGGAGGCCACAGGAATGAAGAATAAATGAAGTTATGGTTAATCAAGTTACCAGCATAATTTATTAAATTTTTTTGTGATTTATATTTTCTTAATAAATAAATCCAAAAATAATGTAATCGGTAAATAAATTTTACTATTATTATTATTTATTCTACTCAAGTTTTCCATATAAATTAATAATTTATTTTCAGTTACTTAATTTGTTACATTTGTTAGAAAACACCGTTCCGCACGCGGCACTCGCATTTCGATCCAACCGCGACAACTCACTTTTGCTAATGTGAGTTGCACTTTCATATAATATTCTTTTAATTATTTTCTTCAATCAAAATATTGTGTATTATTCATCCAGATATAATTATGCGATGTGAAATACCAATTTATATGTTCCCAAGACCCAAATCCAACTTGTTTTTAGAAGAAAAAAACTAAATTTCATCAGACATCATGAAAAATTAATTTAGAATTGCTTTTAAATAAATAAATAATTTTTCAATAAACAAACTAGAGCTCCAAAGGAAAACTATGCCAAATATTAATAACATAATAAACTAAGTCCTCGTGTGTACGTCAACCAGCATCTTCTTTTTGATGTCTGGCGTTTTAGCAGACCTCTGCTAGTTGTTATACCCTTTCTGCTCATTTTTTCCAATCCAATTTTTTTTCATGTATGACTTGAGTAGAACAAACAACAATAATAAAAATTTCCGAAAATTTCATAATTCCCATGGCAAAATTAAGTTAACAAGCAAGCATGCCGGGAAAACTTTAACTTCCAGCCACCAGAGCGCACTTATTCTCTGCTTACTCTAGGCTCCACAGGGGGCGTAACCCTCGTCTACCTCTGCCGAAGGCCGAAGGTGTTTCAAAAATGGTTTGTTGACGAAGAGTGACGTTTTTACCAGAGGAAAGAAGCGGGCGCGAATGGTTTTGGGCTGACGGAAATGTGGCCGCTACTGCTAGGCCTCTTGGGCTTCATGGGGATCTGGCCCACAGCCCTCAGCATGGATGCCCTCGAACGAAGCCAGCTCCGGTAAGTTGAACTGAACACATAATGGGGTTGTCTGCATCCTGCACTCTGCAGCTGGCCGCCTCCGTTATTCCTTTATCTCTGCCTCCGTCAGCTATATAGTGCTTTAGCGGTGCCTTGGGTACAATATTATGTAGTGGGCGAAGTACTCGCACTCCTCAGCACCCCCATAGTAGATTTGACGAGACTTACTTAGTACATACAGGCCCTATAGATGCAGAATAATTATGGTCCTTGAACTTTTCGGAATATTTTTATCAATAATAATTACGATAATTACATTCCATTTTGACTAAATTGTATTGGGTGGACTCAAAATATTGTATCGTAGTACCGCGCCATAATTCTATTATTATTCAATTCAATTTTATTATTGTTCTGTTAGACAAGGATATTAACAGTAGTCTTTAGAACATGTCAGGTCTAAAATTAAAATTTAGAGAAAAAAACCCGTTGCTTATGGAAAAAAGGGAAAAAACTATAAGATTAACGCGAGAAATCGTGGTAATTTTATTTATATATATATATATATATATACATATATATGAACATTTTCTCAGCTTTATCTGTAATTACGTATGGTTGACTTGCAATTCTGGCCCCTTGTTTTGAATTTGGCAACTTTCAAAATACTAACAACAGAGGGGCACTCGGCTGATTGAAAATATCATGTATTTCATTTATTTTAATCATTTATCGCTATCAAATGATTCATATTTTAAGAGAATAGTGCAGTGCGCAGTAGAAAAAGAGTTTTAATTATCATGCGACTTAAGATTCAAGCTGGCCACTCTTTCTTTCAATTCTGGCCACACTTCCTTTCAACTATCTTATTTATTTATTTATTTATTTATTCTCCATTCAGATACATGAAATACACAACATCTTACATCAAGTCAATACACAAAAAATCAAATAAAAATACTGAAAATACATGTTAAGAATGTTGGTTAGAGGGGTGAATGGAGAAATGGCTCTTCGCTAGCAAACAACTTGCTAAAGCACAGCGCACTCTCCTTCGAAGAAGAGCGCACCGGCCGCTAGAGCCATTGGTCAGGGGGACTACGAATTAAGTTTTTGCCACAGATACGCCTTGCACAGCGCTGGAAACTGTGCCGCCGTACAGTCTTTCAAGGCGGGTGGCGTGTCATTCCAAGGTTTGACGACGCGGTAAGAAAACGCCTCGCGTCCGAATTTTGTTCTCGCGTCTGGCTGCAGCGCACGGGGGTAGTTGCTGTCGTCGCTTCGCAACTTTTGCCCCGTAGTTATTCGCGCTCTCGCGTCAAAGTCGGTCACGCCGTGGTCACTTTTTTTAAAAAATAAAAGGTCGGTGTACAGGAGCTGCATTTCCACGGGCATTATTTTTTGCTCCTTTACCGGCGGAAGGTGTTTGCCGTGTATGAAGTGAAGGGCCCGTTTTTGGATTTTCTCCAGTTTTTTGGCCGTGCAGTCGGTGCTCAGGTGCCACGCTGGGGTTCCGTAAAAAAGACCCGGCTTTACAAGAGTGAGATACGCAATTCTTTTTACACGCGGAGTGCACCCGTGCAAATTTCTTGAAGCAAAGCCGAGAGTTTGGGCTGCTTTTGCGCGCACCACGTCAGTATGGTGATTCCACCTGAGATCTTTAGATATATTAACTCCTAACATTCGCTCGTTAACGACATATTGAAGAACACTGCCACTTATTGTGTAAGCAATGTCCGGCGTGCTCCTCGCGTGCGTAATGTCCATCGCCTTGCACTTTTTGGCGTTGAGCGTCATTCCATTGTTCGCACACCATGCGTCCACACTGTCCAAGTCATCTTGCAATTTTTCAGCGTCCGTGGCCGTTTCAATAGTATTGTAGAGTGTGCAGTCATCAGCGTATTGCTGGATATTTGTTTTTACTACACTTGGTAGATCGGCCACGAAAATATTAAAAAGCATTGGGCCGAGCACACTTCCTTGGATTACTCCTGAGGTCACTGGGCAGGGAGCCGATTTGGCGCCGCCGAAAACGACGTGCTGGGAGCGGCCGGTGAGAAAACTCTCAAACCAGCCGTACAATTTACCCTCAATTCCATAAAATTTCAATTTTGAGAGTAAGGCACTTTATCAAAGGCTTTTGCCCAGTCTAGAAAGATTGCATGAACGTGGGCTCCTGAATTTTTATCAAGCTCCACAGTCCACTCCTCAATGGTTTTTGTGAGGAGAGTAATACACGAGCGGCCGGCCGTAAAGCCGTGCTGCGAGTCAGGAATTATTTTCTCGCGCACCAAAAACTCGCTCGTTTTATTGCGGACATGTCGCTCAAGAACTTTGCCAACCAAAGATGTCACGCTAATAGGGCGAAAGTTTTTTATATCTTTTTTGTCGCCGTCTTTGTGAATTGGTGTGACTGAGGCATTTTTCCAATCAAAGGGCAGCTCACTATTTCGGAGTGAGCACTCGAAAAGGGCAGTCAGACTTGGGCTCAGTGTTGCGGCGCACTGTTTCAAAATAATTGCTGGAATTTTATCTGGCCCAGTCGCTGCATTCGCCTTGATTCCTTGCAGCAAATTGTGGACCTCTGCTCTGCTAATATTTATTTCAGAAATTTCTTCTTTTGCAGGGTCTTGTCTGCGCAGAAATGGGAAAATCCCAGTCACAGTTGAGAAATTTTTCTGAAAGCTCTCACAAAATGAGGCAGTAATTTCCTTTGGGTCTGTCAGTGTTTTCCCATTTACACAGAAACTAGAATTTGTGATTGGGACTTTGCTGCGACTGTTTATAAATTTCCAAAAATGTTTAGAACCATTTTGGCCAGAGCCGAGTTTCCAGAACCAAGCATCCTTTGCGCGTCTTAATTCTTGTTGCGCTTTCCTGCGTGCAGCCAAGTACTTTTCCCTGGCATCAAGGCTTTTCACTTTTTGCCATTTTTTAAACAGTTTATTTCTTTTTGAAACTTGTTTCGTGAGTTCTTTTGTCTGCCAAGGAATTAGCTGCTGCGTATTTCCACGCAGTTTTATCACAGGAATACATTTATCAACACATGCAAAGAATTCATTTTTCCAGTTTTCCCAAGTTTGACTAACATCATCTGTGCAGTTTTCAGCCAAAGGCAGGCGCCGCAGAAATTCATCGTTCAGCGCTTGCCAATCTGCACGTTTGTAGTCGTAACTTATTCTTTCGGGAATTTTTGGCCGAGTAACTGAAAGTGCTAAAGTTGCTCTTATAGCATCATGATCTGACACTCCGCATATTACTTCAGTAGTTTCAAAAAGTGCGGGTGTGTCGGTCAGCAAAATGTCAATTGTCTTTTCACTACTGGCAGTTGTGCGCGTGGGCGAGTTGACTAACTGGTCAAAGCCGGCGGCCAAAAAGGCCGTCAAAAATTCAGCGGCCGGGGCCGCCTTTGCCTTTGGAAAATCCGATTTCCAGTCAATGTCAAGATTAAAATCGCCCATAAGTACAACGCCGTCATAAAGGTGCTGCTGAGTGCTCACAAGCTCAATTGACCGCAATAAATCATCTTTTTGAGTGCCGACTGTTTTCGGCGGCCTATAAGCAGACCCTATAAGCAGGCGAAAACCTGCTGCAATAATGGTTGCCCATACAATCTCGGCACTGCCTAACTCAAATTGGTCGGCGCGCTTTGGCTGGAGATGAGGGCGAATTGCGAGCAGGACACCGCCGGCCGGCCGCCTCGCGACTCGGTCCTTGCGAAACACCACATAAGAGGGCGGCACGAATTCGTGGTCCATTATATCGGGCGAAAGCCACGTTTCATTTATGCCCACAATATCAGCTTGATTTTCTTGAAACAGATTCGCGATTTCTGCGCTTCTTTTCCTATTTTTCAGCGACCTAGCATTAAAGCACAGAATCGTTGGCGCATTTTTATTTTTTGTGAAATTAATCTCGCGATCAAAACTGTCATTCAGGTCATTGTTCAAGTCAAAAAATGAATCAGACAAATTTGCCGGCATTGAACATTTCCAGCAAATATATCCTTGTCTCCGAAATTTATTTTTTTCTTTATTATCGAGCTTCAGACAAACTGCGTGGCTCCATCTCTTGCACTTGTTGCAGTTTATTTTCACTGCATTTTTCCTGCCTACTTCCTTACATACGGGACACGTTTGCTTATTCACTGGCCCTGGATTGCATTCTATTCCAGCCATGAGGAGAAGCGCGACAATTATTTTCCTCCTATCGCTGCAGCTAGCCGCGCGCGTCGCAGATAAGAGCCGCACAAATATGTGCAGCCGCTTTCTCTGATCGACTCCAAGTGCACACCAGCAAGATATGCGACAACCGCCAATTATTTCCATACTAGCGAATTCCACTTCATATTTATTTGGTGGTCTGTGCTTTGGTGCCACCTGATGGCTTTCCACATAAATTGCTGCAGTGACTGCACAAATAAAAACAAAAGCTACTTTGTGGATATTCATTTTTTTTTATATTTTCTTTTTTTATTGTTTATTTATCTTTATTTTCAGCCGTGCCTGATTAGCCAGCTGGCCCTTCGGCCGATGTTTGGTCTTTTTTTTTTTTGCGCTGGCCTTACAGCGTGGCAATTTTCCAAGGCGGCCGAAACCGGCTTTGCTCGAGTCCTAGTATCTGTCCGGCTTTTGCCTTGGACACGCACTCTGTCTCTACTTTATGGACAGAGGAGCTATATGCACTATACGTGCTTTACGCTCTCTTTAGGTACTCGGAAAGTTGGAACTCGCCGGTAATATACTCGCCAGCATGGACGAGCTATTTGAGCCGTGTAGCGCGGACACCTAATATTTGCTCTGAAGCAAGAAATAAGACATCCACATTAGCAAATACTTAACAACTGCAAGGCCGAACACTTTATAGATAAATTTTTGGAATTTACAAAACTCCTAACAGAGTACTTAGCCTTAATTTAAGTTAATTTTGCGGACTGACGTGGCTTCTGGCTTACTGACTCGGCGCCTGCGCACCTTCCCCCATCTTATGATAAAACGAAGGGGCCAGAATTGAAAGTTGCATTCAGCATGCACAATTCT